ACGGGCCCCCCGGGGCGGGAGGGCCCTGCCAGTAAGAATGGGGCTGTCGAGGTCAGGCCTGCCGAGCTGGCTGTGGGGTGGGGCAAAGCAGGCACAGTCGCGGACTCTGCTGCCACTGAGCCAGCTGCCAAGGTGACAGGGGTGAGCTGCCAAGACCCAGTCCAGGGGGCAGCATTTGTTCCTCCAGTGCCTTCTGATGAGAATAAGACGCATGCGGCCAAGGGACACCCTGCGGTGGCTGACAAACCGAATAAAAGGAGCCATGACGGGAAGAGTAAAAAGGTTAAAAATAGTTTTCCCGAGAAGCACTTTCTGGAGAGTAAGATAGATGCGGCAAAAATACACGTTCCCATGGAAACCACAGGGGACCACAGCGTGGAAGGGATGGGCTATGTGGATGAAAATAGGAATATCACGTTTACCTGTCCCGGGGCACTGTCGGGGCTGCTGAGCAGGCCAGCTCCTGAGGCTCCGGGGTCGGCAGCTTGTGAAGACCTGCCCACTTCTGCTCCTCAGGTGGTAAAGAAAGGTGCTTCCTCCCCAGACAGCTCAGTGGAAAGTGGGCAAGAGAGAGCCCCGACCCCAGCCCCGGCCTCCAAACTGACAGTGGTAGGCAGCAAAGATAGCGTCCCAGGTGCTGCCCAACCCCAGGCCCCCCCTGCCGCTATGCCTTCTACAAGCACTGGGACAGCAAGCACGGGGACAGTTAACAGTCACAGAGATCACTGTCTTAAAAATAAAGGTGAGCCTGCTGATCCCATGAAAAATAGAGCAGGGGTAGATGAAGGGCATGCGGGCGGAGAAGCCGGGGCAGTGCCTGGAGGCGCAGTTAAGCGGTCAGTAGAGAAAACCCCAGAGCTAGCCAAAGGGCACCTTCATCCTGGACAGCCAGCAGGAGCGCAGAGTCCCCCAGGGGAGGGCAGGGCCCCAGAAGCACATGCAGGCCAGGGTCCTTTCCCCATGTCCCCAGTGAACCAATCACAAGACCCTGAGCATGGTTCTGCTGCAGGCCACAGTCCTGGCAGAGTGCCAAAGCCTAGTCCCTGTGCGGACCAGGGAACTGCAGGTAGAGAAGCTCAGGGCCCAGGTGGGCCGAAGGAGGTGGATAAGACTCTTTTGCCTCCAAAATGTGAAAAGGACAAATCGAAAGAAATGAACCTGGCTGGTAAAATCTCCGAATTGGCAAGTGTTCCCTTGCCAGAACTGCCGTCCGATGGTAGGGAAGTGGGAGCATCTCCTACAGGAGTGGCAGGGGAGCTAGTGACAACCACGGCCGAGGGTCTCCCCCTCCCAGAACTCAAGGGTAAGGCCTCAGAGAGCCCTCTGGAAACGACAGCCAAACCGGAGCCCCCGGCTCTGGGAGAAGGGAAGAAGGAAGACAGGAGCCGAACGGCGGAGCCGATGAAGGGCTACATGAGACCCACCAAGTCCCGAGGACTCACTCCGCTGCTGCCCAAGTCCACGATCCAGGAACGGGAGCGGTCCAGGCAATTGAAGTCCAGTGGTATGAACCCGCCTTAGGGACGTGTGTGTGCTGTGGCTTTCAAGTCAGCACTGGAAAGGCAGCGAGCTTGTGCCTTGGGCCAGTCCAGACTAATCATCTTGTTAACCATTGGTTTGTCGGCATGAAAACCCGCAGCTGTGCCTCCTGTGTGTCCCGCAGCCCAGGCATGCCTGTGTCCAGCTTGTAGAGGCTGTGACTTGGCTGCATGTCTTTTACCCAGCGCTGAACCCCATGAGGATAGGGGCAGGTGAATTGCAAATAACCATTTAGAAGAAGGCCTGTCCATATTCATTGTTCTCAAGCTTTGCAAAGTGTTCTTCGGGACCAGCAGTTAGCGTAACAGCTATGTCGCTGGACTCCCACATAGTCGATCGCAGTTCGCATCCCGGACCCGGTGGCTTAAACTCACGCCGGGTGCGTGTGCGAGTGTGCCCAAGATCCCAGGAGGAGAAGGGATTGCAGCATGGCCATCCTCCCACCCCCCCCCCCCCAAAAAAAAAAAAAGTATTCTTCTTCCATGTAGAGCCTACGGCCAAATTTTATTCATTATTTGGTGTGAGAATTTATAGGTGGAAAGAAAATGTTTCCTGTTGAGCTGTGTGCATACATTTTTCTTTTTTCTTAGTATATACGTACCTCGTGCTGGTGAGACTAAATATCCAAAATGCTTTTATATTAAACGGGATTGGTCTGCATCCTTACCAGAACATGGTAGCCCCAGGCCAGCACTGATAGGCTCAGACCCTTCTCGTGTTCCCAGCAGCAGGGAATGGTCTCTCAGTGATGCAGCCATTGACCCACAGTTATGTGTGAGTTAGGGTTTCCGGTACAGTCTTTGTCCATGAAGCCTCATCAGTAAAATTTATCCCTGTTGGTTTCCTCATGATTTAGGCTCTAATTGGTCAAGTGATTAAAGTGAGATTTAGGGGGGGAAAAAACTGAGATTTAGAACATGATACCTTTAAGGTTTGGAAAAGCTAGCTTTTCTCCCCCCAAAAAAGTGTGTCTTTAATCCCAGCTTCCCTGAGCCTAACAGTGTAACAACCAGGAAATGTTTCCTTGCCTGTGAGGTTTTTCATAGCCTACAAATGGTGCTTTTTCTTAATCCCTGTTTCCAGCATGCATGATGCAGCTACTAACTGTGGGAATTAAAAACACCAGCTGGTCTTCGAGCACCAGCACAGGACTGCGTGCCTACCATGCTCTGGGCTCCTTGGAGGTCAAGCTTGCACTCTGCATGGATTTCTTTCTACCCAGCAAAGCATACTTGCCGTGTGAGCAAGAATGCTAACGATTTTTGTTTGCCTAAGATACATTCACCTTTCTGTCTTTATCTTTCTTCTGTTCAGCTACCCTACTTCCAAAGCAGAAAGCAGAGGCTTTCCACGTTGTGCACAGTTGTTTACTTCTGGTTTCTGGACCAGTGCTTTTTGTTTGTTTCAGCAGTGACATGTAACACATAAACTGTGAAAACCTAGCTGTGCTTTTCTGTTCAGTGTTTCCAAGGAAATGCAGAAAGATTTGTGGTTCCTGAGAAAGGCGAGGCGATGCTGCAGAGCCTGGGTCAGGCTGTGGTTAGGGGTGGCCTTGCAGGTGACTGAGAGGAGGGTAATGGGTTTTGGAAGATGTTATTATTTCTCTGTCACATATTTCCCCTAAGAACAAGCTCTACTTCCTTCCTTCCTTTTTTTTTTTTTAAAGAATGATTTTATTTAACTTTATTTATTTATTACTTTAATTTGACCAGAGAGGGACAGAGAGAGAGAGAGAAAGCAAGCCACTACATCCGGGACTCGAACCACAGTCAGCCTTGTGAGAGTCCAGCACCCTTAACCACCATGCCACCTGCCAGCCCCAAGCTATACTTCCTAATACTTAAATTTTTTAGAACTAATTTTGAATAGGATGATACCCTCACAGGGTACAAAGGAGTGTGCAGAAAAATGTAAATCTGCTTCCCTCCCTTGACCCTTCTGCTCTTCTCCCTCGAGAGGCCACCAGTGTCAACAGTACCTCACACCCTTCCAGACAGCGTGTGCTGAAGAAGTGGCGACACATACATTTCCTGACTTTCTGTAAACAAGGCGTACATGTGCGGAAATTGCTTTACTTTCTAGCTTAGCCATTTTAAAAGAGATCTCTATGAATCAGTGCAAGAGAGGACTATTTTTTAGTAACAGTGTGGTGTTCAATAATTTTGTCCAAAAGGCAGTAATCTGTCAAGTCCCTGGAGTGAGATCAAGAAGGTGATTCCGGTAGGGCTCCAGAGTAGGCCCTCTGGTTTGAAGATCTGTTGCACTCCCAGGCTCAGCATACACGCGTACCTCGGCCCTGAACTTCGTCCGCTGGTGTGGTTTTGTTCTTCTTATGTTGCTGATACAATTGGTGAATAGCATTGTGTTTTTTGTTTTGTTTTTTTTGTTTTTTGTTTTTTAATTTAATGACTTATTTGTGTGTTTCTTATTTTATAAAAGACATCCTGGGAGCAGCTGGTGGTGTGGTGGCCAAAGTGTTATAGACTCCCACATGGCCGACTGTGGTTCAAGTCCTGGACCAGTGTCTTAAAGATTGCACCAGGCACATGCGTGTTCAGAGTATTTAAATCTTTGATCAATGTAGAATGAGCTTGTTTATACGTTTTTTTGGTTTTGTTTGTAAGATGTGAGTTAGGGTTACTTTGTCACCCCACTATTATCTATAGAATGTGTTCCCCACTGAAATGCTTCTTTGCTGTATCCCAAGTTCTTGTGTATATTTGGCCTTATGTCTGGACTTCCTTTGATTCATTTATTTTTTTCAGGTGTCTGCAACATCATGGGGCTTAATAATATATTTTTATGTCTAACAGGGCTAACCCTTTTACTTTGCTTCAGAACTGTCCTGACTATTCTCGCTTGTTCATTGTTAGGTATAAATTAGAAAATTGGCTCGTATGATTTTGTAATAGAAAAAAATAACGCCATCAGTGTTCGCCTTGGAATCTCTCTGTTCTTTGAGACATGGCATTGCTGGCTTTCTAGGGAGAGCTGAAGCCTTGTAAGTTGAATTTTCCTACCCAAGACCATAATAGGCCTTTCACGGGTTCAATCACAAGTCCATCACTGGTATTTTGATGTTTTCTTCATGCAGTTATTAGGCATTTCCAGTAGAGCTGCTTCCACGGCCTTCAGGAGGCAGGGGAATATGTAGGTGCTGAGCTTCAGGTGAGCCTGGGGCTCAGGAGTGGCCTGGGTGGAAGGGGCATGACAGGTCGAGACAGGGACCCCCTGTGCCCACCCACCACTGCTTCCTGTGGGCTCCGATGTTCCCTCCGTGACTGGTGCTGGCCTTGACCTTGTTAAATTGTACTTGGTTCCTCATTTCGTGCCTCGTGTTACCTGCTCTGCTGCCCACTGTCACCGATTGGCACATACCTTGTCCTCCTCTATCCTGTGGTCAGAGGGTGAGATCCATGGTTTTGATGCTAGGACAGTAAAAATACCATGAGAGGTGTTAATAAACGTAATTGCTCCCACCACCTGAGTGCGTAGTAGCCGCCTGCTCACCTACAGATCCGCAGTTGGCAGAGCACTTGCACACACATGGCCCCTCAAGGCTTCTCTCCACTTGACAGGTGACAGACGGAGGCTTTCAGGTGAAGGTCACAACAGTGAAGGCAGCCCTGGAATCTGAGCAGGCCAGGCCTCACGACCTTGAGACCCTCTTTTCTCTTTGTTCACTCTTTTTTTTTTTTAAATTCATGATGGCACTTGCACATATGAGAGAGAGAGAAGCCTCTTCCACAGGATCTTGTCATATCTCAGTCCGGTTTCCCCTGCCTTCCTGTTCGGCAGGGTCCTGGGTACACACACCTGGCTGGCGTGCTTCCAGGCCGAGCTGGGACCTGAACTTCAGGTCAGCCTTACAGCTTCCTGCACTGGGCCCCTGTGTTTTAGAGCTTTACCTCTGGTGGCTAGTGACGGTTTTTTAATATAAATGAATTCCTTTTTGCTGATCTTACTCAGCTTGG